CCACGTGAAGACACGTTACGCTCGTGTTGTGTTCAAGGAACCTGTCCTTGGCCAGGAAAAACAGGCACTCGCTTGTTTAATTATTTTGCGATCTAGATTTCTTCTTCTTTTTTGAAGTGAGAAGTTGTCCGTCAGTCGGACGGACTAACGGACGGACTAACGGACCCCCCCCCGCAAAAAATCGAAAACTCTTCGGTTCTCCACGAATTACACAAGTCACCCAAAGCAGCGTTAAAAAAGATGGAGGCGCCGAAAAGCGACAAATTTGCATCACTGATAGATGCAATGCATAAAAAGTGTGACACAGTGGCCTTCTTCAGATATCGTTTGGCAAAAAAAAAAACTACAACCACCAACATTTATGTGCGGCTGTGGCCCTTTAATAAATGTAGAAGTACAATTTTGGTTTTAGTTGCATGCATTAGATCTTGTTTGTTTATATGCTTTTCCATGCATTTATCATTTAGATTCAACATCGCCACTTTTGCTTAGTTTTGTCTTTTGTGTTGACCATCAAAGCATGTCACAGTAGAGGCAAAATACACAATTATGAAACCTGAAAATTATCAGAACATGTCCTCTTTAAAAGGGCTCAATATGCATTAAATGGTGTTTGTCAGCTAACTGCTTAAAGAAAATGGTTCCACACATCAATACAAGCAATCAGTTTAATATGTCTGTATAATAAAACTGCAGTGATGCATGTCCAACTCGTGAAAATCTACAAAAAACAAAAACAAAAAAACGTGCTCAGGAGCCATTAACCTGAGGCTCTTCCTCCATGTCCTCCTCGTCCTCGCCGTCATTGATCTCTTCTCCAGAACCTCCTCCCATGTGTGACTCCATCTGTGCCGTTTCACCCTCTTGTTCTTGTTCTTCTTCTTCTTGTTGTTCTTGTTCTTGCTCCTCCTCCTCCTCCTCCTCCACCGTCCCAGCTGGACATGATTTTACAAGTGCACATATTAACATCAATCTTTCAAAATTGAGAGAAAACCCTACAGACACAGAGAGACACAGAGAGAGAGAGAGAGACACAGACAGAGAGAGAGAGACAGAGAGAGAAACAGGAGCAATATACCAAAAATAGAGAGTAGGCTATTTATTATATATTGGATTTAATTTGTAGAATAGTACAATAACCCTTATTTCTTTGCTCGATGCATGACAACTTACCTACCCTGGCTGTGGCTCTTGATTTATTTCGAAAACGTTAGTCTAAAAGCAGCTTTAAAAGTGTCAGTGGAACATTGAAGAAGTACTGGGTCAGCACTGACCTTGTCTGGGATCTCGTCCTGGTATCTGACCGGCCTGCAGCATCCCTTTCAGCCTCTCCACCTCAGCCAATGAGGACGCATTAGCGATGGCATTCTGAAATGCAAACACACTGGAGTTACACAATGTATATTTTCAGGTATCACTTCAAATTCAGCCAGCAAGAAAACTGAATTCATCTCTATAGTAGTCAAATAAACGTTACCTTATTTAAAAAAAAAAAAAGAAGAAGAAAAATACAACATCAGAAGCTGATTTGGACACGCTTAAAAAGGTGAATGGTTTAATGGAACTTTCAATAAAAGGTTCAACATAAAGCTGAGGCGCTCTTTCTTGACCTTTACAACTGTAGGAACCATCACTGGCTTTATGTGGAGCTTTTCAGTTTGAAAGTTGCTAAACGTAATGAAGCCTCCAGAAAAAGACAGCAAATTAAGTGTACGTTTAAAAGGGTTTTTAATAGATTATTAATTGATCTTTGTTTTTTGTTGAATGCAAAAATATATAATTTCACGTTGTGGATAAATGAATAATGGCAATTCCACCTCAGCTCTGAAAACATAAAGACCCTTAACAAAACAGGGACAACGGCAGAACCTTGATGGCTTCCACGTCAGCCTGAGACGGCCCGCTCCTCTTCTTCTCCGGCTGTGCGGCCCCTCCAGGAGTGAACCTGAAACGACACACCTCTTTAGAGCTTGTGGACACACAGGCTTCTCTGACCAAGCAACCAATGTAGCCACCTCATGTATAGTATCTTTTCTTGAGTCAAATATCTGATACATTGTCCATAGACAGCAGTCCTGAGCAACACTGAGCTCACTGTTTCTCACTTGAGACATTAATAGCTTTTCAAAGGGAAGTGTGTGTTTTTTACACATCACCGTGTATTCTCATGTACACTGTAGGTGACAGATGTGGATCTATGAGCCAGGGTGCAGTGCTTCTTAGGAGCTGCTGTCTAACGTGGACTTTCATCTTACGTTTTGGTTCGCTTGGCAATATCCTTTGCAAGTTGAGCACCTCGTTTGCCCTTGAACATTTTCTCTGCCTCCTGACGTTCCTACAACAATATCAAGAATTAAAAAGCTTCATTAAATACATACTAAGCCTTCAGCCAAGGGAGGCAAGGCCAGGCAGGAACATCGTCTGACATTCAGCAGGATGTCCACTTCAAGTTATAAGAGTCAAACAGTGTTATTACACGGCTCGGTTGAATACATGATTCCGATTTGTCAAGTCAAAAATTGATTGTTAAGTCAAGTCAAATAGTTGACATATTTAGCAGGTAGCCGTGTAATAAGGGGTATAATGTGCAGCGAACCTGGCTGACATTATCCCGTACTTAATCACCCCAGAAATGTTTAAAAGAGAAAAATAAATTCACCAGTTTTAGCTTCCATCACCTTGAAGGCTGGATCTTACAAACGAGCACAACATCCTTGCTCCTCTGCACTTACCTTTAGCTTTACCTTCTGGAAGTCTAGCACACGGATCTGTGGGATTTTGTTGATGACATAGAGCCTGTAATGCTTCTTGTTGGTTACTGGATTCCTTAACAAGCTGTAGATTAAGTGAGGAAACATACAAGATCAGAATTCAGCAGACATCCAACACTTCAAGAACCACATGATATGACAGCAGATGATCTCTACCTGAGGAGGGTCAGTGTCCTCACTGAGGCCAGGGGGTCCAGGTCACCCTGCATTGGAAACCATATTAATTGACAAGGTCCCTCATACAACAGGTTCAGAGGTAAATAATGAGCATGCGCACCTAAATACAGTGATGCAAACACAGGTATGGTGAAAAAAAAGAGAATTATTCGAAGCAGGAAAAAAACAGCGTAATATACCATCTGACAAAGGCCTGTGCTATACACAAGTTATTGAGCCGTTTCCGCTCTACATCCTGAACTCCTCCCTTCGATGCAATGCACTTCCGTTTTGGCGGACTGGGTTTGTTTTGCTAGCTAGCTCCGTTGTGCCGACAAAGCACTGATATCGCAGAGACAAAGAGGATATAACAATTACAACATGAAGAAAAGTGGTTCGGGAACTACGTGTGCGGTAGTTGGTTGCAATCACTCGAGAAAGCACCTGAACGAGTGGTTAGATAGAGAGTGCTACGACCACAAACCAGCTACGAAGAGGCAATGTCCATGCGCTCCATTGTTGAAATTTTGTCGCAAGCCTGATACCGACTCGGAATCAAGGACCTGGCTGAAGGCATTGAATTTAAAGAAACCACCCCGCAACGTTTTTGTTTGTTCCTATCACTTTGTTGACCAAAAACCAACCAAGGATAATCCTTTCCCAGCGTTGTGGTTGGGGTACAATCGCCCTCCCCAGCCAAAGAGACGTCAACTCACCCAGCGGACCACTGCCTCCCCCCAGATAAAGAAACGCAGACTTGAAGCTGAGGGTAAGTTCAGCAACTTTAGCTATGAAGCTGACAATACTGTTAATTATGAATAAGTTGTCATACACTAACATTGCTACCGGTATTTTGCTAAAG